AATGAATTGCTGTAAAGTCTCGCTTAGCTTCTTCCGAAAGAGGCGCATTACCATCTCGTACCACTATGTTAACTTGCATACCGGCTTCCCGTGCAGCTCTTGCTTCTGCAATGGAAATTCTGAGTACTTCAGTAGAAGGAATGATATCACAACTGCAGAACACACAATCTTTGAAATAACGAGGAAACGGGTTATAGCAACAACGCTATGGAGTTTGCTTACCAAGATGGCAGGTGAATTGGCCGTTGAAATGAGAGGTAAACCTTGTGCCTTAAAACCAAACCCCGCGACTGCATATAGCGAACAGTGGCGTTGTGTACGAAACCTATAGTCGCTGACTGTCCATGAAAGAAAAAGCCAAAAAATCATGCAGGACACCCTAAGTAGGACTTCTTGCAGCATCACTGTACAAGTTCTAAGTACGCGCTCGTTTTATGCCAGCAAAACGATACACTGTCGCCTCTGGCTCAGATCCAACCGTCCATCCACCAGTGAAGAAAAAAAGCAAAAAATGCGGTGAAAAAGCTGAACTTGTGACAGAAAATAGCCTTTGAGTGTTGGTGGGCGGGACAACTAGGGAGGCGTCAGAACTGCCACTTATGATGGTCGCAGCGCTTCCGTTACTTACCTTGAAACCGGGAAAAGGGAAAATCCTTGTGACTGCGGATAGACTACCAGAACGAAGGAGGACGTCTACGAATACGTCTAGCGCGGGGACTGTCTTTGAGACGGTGACCATAAAACCGTCTTCTATTTCTGCTGCGGACCTCTTTGAATAAATTATGGAGGTTTTTTAGTGAGAACACACCCACACTCAATACTAATTTCAGCCATAAGGGTACTTCAGTGGGGCACTGCGTCTCACAGATTATGTCACTGGCCTCATGTCACTAATTTGATCGTAATCTGATGCACTTTATCGCGACCCAAGCACCGATTGTGCCCGAAATTCGTCTTGACTGTATATGCTTCACCGAAAAGACCTCCGAAACTTCGTTCAGGGAGATCCACAGTAGATATCAAAGACGGATTTTGTTCTCAAGCACGGACGATACACATTCATTATCACTTAGCCTATAATCTCTCCCTTGTAAACGATTACCTTGTTCCACATCGGTCAGGAAGAGAACTTCAGCTGGACTCAGATGGATTGCTTCGCATATCTTCTTATACGAAACAGATTGTTGTTTGTGTCCAATGGTCGTGTCGAAATATCCAGAAAGAATCTGAACATGCACTACCAGTGAACTTCACTCATCAAACTGAGCTAACCTTTATT